GGGAAAAAAATGATGCTGCAGAGATGCCTGCGTCTGACTGGTTGGGACCTGCTGGATGTTTCATATCTGTGGATTTGGATGCAAATATAGTTCTTTTTTTATTCAGCTTCTTACAATTCTCCCTTCAATCTGATATTCAGATACCTCAGGTTCCTTTTGGATGAGCCAGGAAAGATAAGCATGAAGTTTTAATGCTTTATAGATACCAAGAGGCAGTAAGTGGAATTGTGCCATCTTATGTGGGGCATGACTGCCAACTTAATGCAAGAAATGTAAATAGGCTTGATATTTTAAGCTACCTTTTCCTATCAGGATCTAAAGAAGTTTGATTCCTTTTAAGGATTAGATTCAGTTGCTACAGAATTGCTTAGTTTTAGTTTTGAGCTTAAGTTGTATTTACAAGAGTTTGGCTTTCTGCATTTTAGGGTGGAAAAACTTGGGACAGTTCTCCCTCGGCTGGCACTTTTTCTTAGATACAGTCTCAAGCAAATTTGACAGCCCATCATAACTGGTGAGCGGTTTGGTAGCTGATTAGAAGATACAGCAAATGATTATAACTTGAGATCTGCTAGTATTGCGGATATTTTGCTACACAGGCAGCAAAGTTTGACACAGTTTGACCACAGCAAAGTGGTCTATCACAGTCATTGCTCTCATACATAGTATTTGCTATCTTCATTTTCTCCTGCACCTCCTCAGTCATTCTGCCTGTCCCTTGCTTGTTTTGCTTCTCGTTACTTTTGCAGCTGATTATATTTCATAGAGAAAAAGAAGGGGAAAGCAAATTGAATTAAAGCTGGCTGGAGAGTTCAGGAAAATAAGAGGCTCTTACAGCAGTATAGTGGGGGCGAAGTACTGGGGAATATCCATTAATTAATGAGGTGAATGAAATTATGATGATTCTAAAATGGCTGATTTACTTAACTGCTTTGTAAATTCATCTTTAAACAAGATAATTTTAATAAAAATATTTCTAAAGGAGAAAATAGCTGAAGCCTTGTTAGAATAACAATTCCAAATAATGCTGATGTGGGTATTCATTAAAAAGTGGTAGGTAGTTGGCCATATTGGAACGTGTTCAGTATTGCCAGGTTTTGCAATATCTGTTTTGGGTTTTTAATGGAAAATTCCCAGTTCCTGTAGTCACTTTCAATACATAAAACTCACTTAGAAGTGCTGTTTCCAGATCTCACAGTTGTGTAGAAAAGCACATGAAAATGGGAGTGAGAGTTCAAAATCCAGAAGACAAGTAAGTGTGTCAAAGGCAATATATACTGCATATTTCAGTATAAGCAAGGCAGTTTTCCCACCTGTATATGACGTTACTGACAGCAGTAGTGAGATGCTGTGTCTGATTTTGGTGTTCATTTTTTCTTAAGCATTGAAAATTACAAGATACAGACAACGCCTAAAAGGGTTGGAGAGCTGGAAGAATACCTTGCCTGGGTGGGCTTAGTCTTCCAGCCATCCATACTGCTGGCCTCACTGGCTTTGGCAGTTTTGTTTGTTTGTTTGTTTCCAAATTGCCAGCATTTTTACAGTGATTGTGTTGACCACATATAGTGGATTTAACCTGACAGTAGGATGGCTACCCTTAGATTACTTTCTGCAAGGCTTTTAGTAGTGGTCCTTGTATTAACAGGAGTCTGTGGACAAGTTGAAAGTTATTGAGTAACTCGTTCTCACAGCAGCAGATGTCCTTGTCCTGCATGCCTTGCATCTCTACGTGACCAGAACTACTGTGCATCTCAGCAGGTCCTCGCTGTGTGAAAGCGGGGCGAATTGTAGGCCAGAACAATACCCCATGTACAGCTGGACCAGAAGGCCAAGCATATTTCCCTGACATGCAAGAAAACTGGAGTTCAGTACGTTTAGTTCACTAGTACTAAAGGACACTTTAATCTGGCACAAGAACCCAGACCTAGAAGCTGAGCTCTGACGAGTTAGACAAATCAGGAATCAAAAATTTTAAAGGGAATGACTGCCTGTGGCAACAAGCAACTAAAGGAAACGTTAGATTCTCTGTTGCTTGACATTTTTGAGGCCATCTGGAAAGTCATACTTTTGTCGAACAAAAGTTTTAGGTTCACGAGACTGGAAGGACAAAAGTTCTAGACTCCTTGGTCCATTACATGCTGGAGATTAAACTAGATAATCTGAAGTATTTTTTGGTATTAAACTCTGAGAGTCAATAAAGGAGGAATTTTGAGTAGACCTAATTCTGGGTGGAGGTTCTGGTTCACTAAGTCCTCTAGTTCCACAAAGTACTTGAGCACATGAAACTTGGTGTTGATAGATAAGGGAAGTTCTCCAGGAAACAGTGACAGTAGAAAAACAGGTGAGAAATGACAAAAATAAATTTATGTCTGAGGAAAAGTAAGCTAGCATATCTAGTGAGAACAATCTCAAGACCAAATGTTTCATGAGAGATTTTCTGTTTGAAAAATACCCTACTCAGAGCTGACACTGGGGACTGTCAGACTGTGCAGCAGTTTGTGACATGGTACAGTGACAGTAAGCCAGTGTAACACTTCTCTTCTCACAAAGCTTAGAGAAAAGGCAGGAGCAGCACTGCCTCCTCCAATGCAGAGGAAGAACCTAGAACATAGTGTTTGTTTCTGGCTGCTCCTTGTCAAGTTCTGGATGTCTCAGTCGGAGATGTGACTTCCAAATCTTAATCGTTATCATTCCAGTCAGTTGCTCGTCTACTGCTGCATTGGCTGCTGTGCTCTCATTTTAGTAGAATAATCTGGATACTTGTCTTCTGAAATTGAAGATGGCTTGTACATTTTCAGTAATTAATTGTCCAAAGGACAGCACATTCCTGTTGGACTGAAGCATTCATAGGCTCTACTCTGTTTGCTGTCTTCTCACGCGGTCAGTTCTTTGGATGGCAGTCATCCCCTTGCAGTGTCTTCTTGCTTCCTTTTCTCACGTACACGTTTCTAGCGTTAAAACAGTGAAAGGGGCTCAATATTTGCAATAAAAGAGCAAAGCTAGGGCCTTTTTCTTGGTTTTGTATTTGCTGTTTTCAGAATGGATCAACGCATCCTAGCTCTGTAGCGCTGCCAGAGCATTATAGCGTAGCTACAGCGCTCCTAAACAAAACAGTTTTAGGGCCTGTTCTTCAGCCCTAAGGTCATCTGGTCACATCTGTACTAGTAGGCACTCTCAGCCTTGAAACTGGGTGGCTTCATCCAGACAGCCCGTTTGTGGTTTCTGGTCCATGCAAAATCATGAATAACGTGTATGAGCTGGTTGAAAATATACTAGTTGTGCAGGGCCAAAATTGTGCTAAAGACCGTTAGAGCAATCTAACAGTGTAGATGACTGCGTTTCAGTGCCTCTTCCTGGGCATTTTTTAATGTACTAATTTTGACAAGGCTATACCCTCTGACTCAAGGGAGACCAGACCCTATTTCCTTGCCAGACCATGTCTGTATCATGAGACTTTACTTCCCTGAAGAGATTCCTTGCTACACCTCCAAAACCTGCTAGCTTGGTTTACTTTATTGTGATTCACATATGTGAGAGGAGAGGAAACAGAGCAACGGAAAAAATTTTGTCACTTCGTGGCTTCTGTCTGGGACTTCCTCTGTGCTAGTGCAGAAATTGAAATGAATAACGTTCTTCAGACTTTGTGAAGAGAAACAGGCAGCCCTGTCCCTGGAAGGGTTGGTATATTTGTGAAAGCCATCATTCCCTCTTTGGTTTTAATGGGGTCCTTGACATTCTTGCTTGACTTTCATAAGACTACTCTTTGTCTGCTCTGACCTGTAGAGGTTGTACGGTAACTCTGTCATGTCTCCTGGAGTTTGAGTGATCTCTTTTCCCTGCTCTCCTGCAGGAATTGTAATAAGCCCTTGACTCATAAGAAGATTAACAAGAAGGATGGAAAATGCCCTGATCTCTTTGCCAAGTTCTGTCTGCCCTCCACCTGTCATCCCTTCTTCTCAAGATCTTGAGTTCTGAAGGAACAGATCTTGTCATTTTTATGCCATTTGGATCTGTTCTGAGCAGACTTAGGAAGGAGAAGAGATTAAGGGAGCATATTGTGATTTTTCAGTTCCGTTTCTGGGGTCTGCAGTGATACATAGGAGGTTCATTGTTGTGAACCTTGGGAAGTTTAGGAGTTAAAAAAGCTTTTGACTAGCCACCGTGGTGATTGAGTTACATGAGAAACCTGCCTTTGGAGGGGAAAAGTCTGTAGACTTATTTCTTTAAATGAAAGCTCACTAGTAATTGGATGTGCTGCACTTTCCTTGTTAGGGCAGGCGATCCGTGACAACGTTCCAGGTTCAAAAGTTACTAACTTCAGAAATCAGACTTCAGTCAAATCAACTTTGGTCCTACAGGGCACTAGAATTTCCGCTAAGGGTGTTTTATCTACTTTTTTCAAGGTACCAAAAAAAAAGTTGGGGCAACTTGATCTCTTCCTACTTCACATTCGAAAGAGCTGCAATTTGTAAATCTCACATCAGAACTGGTTAAAACTTCCGCAGAAAAGTTTTGCCTCTGGCCTAGACCTAACTGATCAGTTTTGGAATCTGGGATTTTTGTTTGGTGGATACTTAGGGATGAGCAAAATTTGGTCCGCTCTGAAATCTAGTTGCAGCATCGATTATTGAGCAACCTCTGTCTCTCTGTAATGCATGTGCATCCAAAGCACAAGGGTAGCAGCTGCAGGTTTATTGTAAAAGATGGAAGGAGCGCTAACAAAAGAGAGAAAAGTTATTTGAAAACTTAAAAAAAAAAAAAAAAAGCCAAAAAACCCCAGAAGTTTAAAAGATAGCCCTTATGCCAGATAGTGAGACGGGCATTAACGGGAGGTTTTCGGCTGAATTTGTTTGGAAGCGGACTACTGAGCTGCCTTCTCTGTCATATGTGTGACTTAAAGTGTTGGACCAGAACTGATCTTTCCTGTATATAAGGTACTTTACATGTCCCACAGAGAACTGTTGAACTGAAGCATTTGCTTTTACGTTTCACCTTGTTTTTAGTCTGCTGGAAACCATGTCTCACTACACAGACGAACCAAGATTTACCATAGAGCAAATAGACCTGCTTCAGCGCCTGAGACGTACAGGAATGACCAGACATGAAATCCTCCATGCACTGGAAACCTTGGATCGTCTTGATCAAGAGCATAGTGACAAATTTGGGAGAAGGTCTAGCTATGGAGGTGGTTCCTACAGCAACAGTAGCAACAATGTCCCAGCATCATCTTCTACAGCCACAGCTTCAACACAGACCCAGCATTCGGGGATGTCCCCATCACCTAGCAACAGTTACGACACCTCCCCACAGCCTTGCACTACTAATCAGAATGGGAGGGAGAGTAACGAGAGGTTATCTGCTTTCAACGGGAAGATGTCCCCTACCCGTTACCCACTTGCAAACAGCTTGGCTCAAAGGTCATACAGTTTTGAAGCTTCTGAAGAGGACTTGGACATTGATGACAAAGTGGAGGAACTGATGAGGTTAGTAGAAGTCTTTGTAAAAAGTTTGGAGAGTCAATGTAAGAAGTCCATCGGAAATATGCATCTTGGAGGATTGCTCTAATAGGCGTTATCAAGAAAGTAGGAACTGCTTTAGACAGTTATTCCTTTACTAGTTCTGCTGGTCACTATCTCACTACATCTCACCTGCCTCCTGGTCTTGTGTAGCTAGCTCCTGGCCTTGGGTAGATATCCTGCAGGCTGTTTTATTTTTGAAATGTTTTTTTCCATGCTGTTCCAAAGGTTAAATTCCATGTTAGAGGGCTACATTTCCACCCTACTCTTATTTGGAAGACTTCTCACTGAGTCTTCCCTCCACCAGTTTATACCAGTTGAATTTCCTTCCATGTCTAGGAGAGTAGGGAGCCTGCTTGGTTAAGGCTTTCCATTGGGATCTGGAGTACATGCATCTCATCTGTTTATAGTTTGTGGAAAGGGCTATCTCTCTCTGGGATTTGTACAGTGTGCAAACTGGCAGCAGGAAAATACAAACGGTAAGGAAGAGGCAGAAGTCCTCAATAAGAGCTTGCTGTTTTTGTTTTTTTTTTCCCCAAACTGACCTCCCTTTACTTTTAGCCACTTCTTATTCAGCAGTATGGCAAAGATTAAAGGAGGGGATTGTACCACTGAGGATGAAAGTCAGAATCAGCAGCCTTGATAGCAAAATGAAGTAAGGGGAAAGGCCAAATGTCTCAAAATTATTTTTTGTCATAATTTAGTCTCCCCCCCCCCCCCCCCCCCCCAAAAAAAAAGTGCAGCATTTATGAAGTACCTATGAGAGAATAGAGTCCATAAGCTCTGGGATGAAGGTGTATTTGAAGTAGAGTTTGGAGATTTATGGTAAAGGTGTGGCTGTGGAGGGAAAAAATAGGTAAGAAAAGCTGACTGTAAATGATGCTGCCTGACAGCAGGATAATGGGCTAATGCAGGAAGACAGTGAGTATAGCAGCATGCTGGCGTTCCCTTTGCTGAAGTTCAACCGTTCCTTTGAGTTTTGAGTTCCCACGCAGTAAGTCTCAGGTAGTGTTTTTGGTGCTTATTCACACTGAAACTACTTTTATTTTCAGGCATGTGGAGGTTGAGTATTGGGTGCAGAAATAAAAACGAACCCACAACGTAGCATTTATTTTGCATTTCCAAGCTTAAGTCTACCTTGAATTCTGCTGGGGGAAGAAGAGAGAAGGGGAAGGGAGATTATCGAAAAATAAAGCCTAATGAAGTCTGGTTTTAATTGTCTGCATCTTTCAGGGGAGGGAAGGAGAAAGGGAGGAGGGAAAAGTAAGTGTTTACTGCAATTGAAATTTGCTGCATATCACAGTGCCTGTGCAACCACCAAATTATTTTCCTTTAGCCCAATTTATGTCCCTTCTGAACTATCTCTGCACACCTTTTAAAAATCGTAATTCCGGGCAAATAAAGGCTTTAACAACTGGCACTTGTTCGTTCATTGTAAGCCACGTAAAGAAGTAGGGACGGTGGGGTAAGGGTTGCAAAATCTTTCACCTTAAGGTCTTTTTCTTGAGAGGTTGAGGAAGGTTTGTGTATGTATATTCATTTGTGTAGCTATCCGTGCAGACCCAGCTATCCTTTATTTTTTATTTTTGTGCCTCGTTTTTATGACTGAGGTTTTTATGCTGGTGTGAGAGATTTATTCATCCCTGTGTAATGAAACTTTGTACATTCCATATGGCAGCCCTGCACCTAGTATGAATTATATAGGACATGAGTCATCCATTCTCCTGCTAGGGTACTTTGATCAAACGTGACACTGGTTAAAAAGAAGTGTCCACTGGTGAGGTACTTGGACTTTTTTAACGCCTGCCTTTCCCACTTCTTCCTCCCCTAAACAAAGGAAATAAAACCATTTTGCATCTTCAAAGTGCACTTTGGTCTGTCTGTCTTTTTTTGTGTTCTTTTGTTTTTTGTTTTGGTAGGAGGGACAGCAGTGTGATAAAGGAGGAAATCAAAGCAAGCGTGTGGTTGCACGGTTAAAGGGGAAGGTGTTGGGGGGGGGGGGGGTCCTTATTTCATTTTGGGAAACTGTGTCTAGCTGCCTGTGTGCGCACGGCGCAGATGTTGGAATATTGCTTGGCTTTCTGCATTGCAGTGCAGATCTGTCAGCTTAGTCATGATAATGTATGCCTTTGATTTAAGACCCATTGTCCCGCACATCATGGAACTTCCCCAGTGAATCACTTTTTCTTTTTTGTGGCTTGTGCTAGCAGTTTTATTTTACAGCATTATAATAAGCCCAAAGTTCCTATCTTAAAATGAAAACGGTCTTCCTTAATTCTTAAATTGTTTGTTAAATGTGGCAAATAGATGCATATCTGTCTCTCTATGAATGGAGATATGTATGTATAATATGTATTTATATTATAATATGTATATGAAATGTCTGGAGGCGCAGCTGTAGCCAGCATCAGTACACCCAGCAGTCTGATTATGATAGTTTTGAAGTTTTTCACTCACTTTGAGTTGCAATTAATGAAAATCAGATGCACGGTTGAGGGGATGACTGTATTCACTAAGAATTTACCTGGAAGGAGAGAGAGTTTTCTTTTTGCCCTCTGTCCCATTCCTTATCTCTTTGGCATTCAGGACAAGTGAACAGACTGCAGTGGTATCACTTATTCCTTTGGTGTATTTCCAGATCTCTACACAAACAGTAATGAAGTCTTATTGCTCCTCCATGGGGTGGAGCGCTATTACTTCTCCTGTACAGGTTCATGCTGTTTGCCCAGAACAGCATAGAGTTAGTAGCAAATCTAGGATGAAGAGTCGATGATAAAAATAGATAGCTCAATCCCATGTTATATCTATAACATTTATTCATTTTTAAAACTAAGCTTGAATAAAGATGTTGAAATAGATCATTTTTAAGGTTCTGTGATGACTAGGAATGCCAACCCAGCAGGAGGGAGGTTGTTCTTTTATGATGTTTCCAGTGTTTGAAATGTCATAAGAACCCATCTGTCTGTGCGATCTGGGTTTGCAGGCTCTGTACATACTGGCATTTCAGGTAGACAGGCACAAAGGTGAGCTTGAGCCAGGAATTCCTTCCACATTTCTAAATCTTCTCTGTGGCCTTGAACAAATTGCTTGTCTGCCCCTGGTTTCAGTTTCATCTATAAAGTCACGAGGGTAGCATTTTGTGTAACTCAAATGTTATGAACTTTATTGGATGTTAGGAAGAACGTGTTGAAAATTAAATGCTAAGTCTAGTTGTTTGAGCTGAACCCAGACGGTGAACTTTCAGGAGTTTGTGGGTCACTGCCGTACTTCTGTGCAACAACCCTTGCCTGAATACGGTCTCTGAATGACCCGTCTCTGCATTAACTTATGTATAGCTTTTTATAAGGGCAAACACAAGGAAAACTTCTGCCTTCAAGACTGAGGCTGAAC